ATTTTGACATCAAATTTTGGGGTAAAAAAGTGCATCTTATACACAGAAAAATATGTTAATTCTTTTTCTATTGTAGTTAATTATTATAAGTTTTTGTATTATAATGCCGTAAAAATAGTTATTTTATAATCGTACATTTAAAGTTGTTAGTTGCACTTGAATTTTGACAGTGTTTGAGTCTTGGTATTGAAGTTTACATGCAGTTGTTCTAGTTTCTAGTTTGGCAGTTTTCTGCCTGTTATAATGCATTGTATTTTTTGTAATTTGGGAATGGATTGCAAATCAGTAGTTTACTTCTGTCATATTCTGGGATTATTTGATAGTATTCTATTCATATTTTTAGATGGATGATCCCTGGTCTTCTTCAACTGTGACTTCGGAACCAACTCTTCCAAGACAGGAAGTGACTGACCCATGGGGTCTTCCTGTTTCTTCATCATCATCATTCTCCATCCAGATGTCTCCCTCTCACAACGTTTCAAGTATGTTTAGGTTTTGGTTTAATTTGTTCCATCTCTAACTAATTTTTCATTATATAATCAAGTGCCAACAGTAGTTAAAAGAAAATCATACTATTATTTGTTGTCCTTGTGTATGTCTACGTATGAATTCAACAATTTTCATGTTTTGCAGGTAAAGAAACTTATTTCAGTGAGGTACTTTGAAAACTTAAGGGTGATAACTCTTGATGAGCAGCTCCTTCACTTTGCAACCTAACGATACCAATGAGTGTTATTCTTTTGAACATAGATTTGATTTTTTTTAATTTATATTATTATTTTTGTTGAAGGCATACGTGTAAGGATTAAGTTTTCTAACACTTGCAAAGTCAAGTCCCTTTCTGTCTCTCTGAATATCTTGACACATTATTATGAACTTGTTAAAGTAAATTTTCTTAGTTTAATATGGCCTGCCAAAGTCGTCTAAAATGTAAGAGTGAAATAGGTAGAAGGTATTGTGAAAGACGAGTACTTTATATAGTGTGTTACTCAAACTTTCATTGGTGTATTGAAATAGAAATAGTAACAATGTGCTGGATATCAAGTGACCAGTTAATATAGATAGGATAAGTTAAGGTTGTTCTAATGCCCAGTTGCTGTAGAAGAAGGAAATCAAAACATTATAATGCAGTTGGTAAACAGGAGTACTCGAAGATAATGAGTAGGAATCATGGTTAAAGAATTGTGTGCTTGTAAGGAACATTTTATCTGAAAGAAACAAGCACAGAACCGTGTACATGTAGAATAAAACTACAGTCAAAGAATCATGGTTAAAGAATTGTGTGTTTGTAAGGAACATTTTATCTGAAAGAAACAAGCACAGAACCATGTACATGTAGAATAAAACTACAGTCAAAGAATCACGGTTAAAGAATTGTGTGTTTGTAAGGAACATTTTATCTGAAAGAAACAAGCACAGAACCATGTACATGTAGAATAAAACTACAGTCAAAGGATCACGGTTAAAGAATTGTGTGTTTGTAAGGAACATTTTATCTGAAAGAAACAAGCACAGAACCATGTACATGTAGAATAAAACTACAGTCAAAGGATTATGGTTAAAGAATTGTGTGTTTGTAAGGAACATTTTTATCTGAAAGAAACAAGCACAGAACCATGTACATGTAGAAAATCTATAAAACTACAGTCAAAGGATCATGTATATATATAGAACTTATTTTAAAGAATAATCAAAGAATCATGTTTATATATAGAGAACTTATTTTAAAGAATAATCAAAAAATCATGTATACTTAGAGAACTTATTTTAAAGAATAATCAAATAATCATGTGTATATTCAGAGAACTTATTTTAAAGAATAATCAAATAATCATGTATACTTAGAGAACTTATTTTAAAGAATAATCAAAGAATCATGTATATATATAGAGAACTTATTTGAAAGAATAATCAAAGAATCATATATACTTAGAGAACTTATTTTAAAGAATAATCAAAGAATCATGTATATATATAGAGAACTTATTTTAAAGAATAATCAAAGAATCATGTATATTTAGAAAATTTATCTTAAAGAACTATCAAAGAAGCATGCATGTCTAGGGAAGGGTTTTTAAAAACAGTCAAATAACTGTATATATATATATATATACAGGGCTCAAAATTAGACAAAATCTTTAGAGGCATCTGTCTAGCTTTTATGTTTTATAATTTTGTAGCTAATTAGGAATGAACTAGAATATTCTTAGTTATATATTTCCAATGATTCAATAATGCATTCCACTTGTATTAAAATGGGTACAATTAATTTACTAATATGGAATACTAACTAAGATGGACGTTTTAAAAAATACAAAACATCCATCTTTGATGGAAGTTGATTTGAAATAAGAAGTTTTTATTGCCATCTTCAACAACCAAAGGGTGTACATAGAACTGAAAACTATTATAGGTTGACTAGGAGAATCCAGTTCCAAAAAAGGTAAAATTTGAAAAATAAACACCAATACCGTAGTGGTTTCTATAACATGTTACTGGTTGTGCAACTACCAATTGCACATACAGTTAGCATACCAGATTTTCCTCGTATCTTTTCTCCAGTATGGAAGTGCACAAGAGAATGGGGCCATCAGAAAATTTCTTTTGTTTTTGCTTGAGCCAGTTGTATGGTTGTATATTTTTCTGTTCGAACTTTACTAGTACATGATTTTTTGTGTTTCAGTATTTGGTTAGGTTGTTCATCTTTTCTGTTTGTCATTTGAATGATCTCTTTTAAAAAAAAAAAAATGGATTAATTTGATGACATCGTTAATTCATTTTGTCCCATTTCTTACCAATTAACTGGCCATTAGAATGTTCCTCCTTTTTGTTTTGAGCCAGTTATATATTTGAAACCAGTGATTGTAGATTTTTCTGTTCAAATTTTACTAGTACACCATTTTTTTGTGTTTCAGTATTTGGTTAGGTTGTTTATGTTTTCTGTTTGTAATTTGAATTATCTTTTTAACAAAAAAATCATGGATTAATCTGATGACACCATTAATTCACTTTGTCCCATTTCTCACCAATTTTTGTCACATGACTTTTATGATTTGTCGTGGGGGCTCATAACGTTTCTTTGGGTATTTGGTAATGAGGAAATGACATGTAAGGCACAATTCTAAATTTATGATTGAGTTTTAAAAGGAGGTAAAACAACTGAAGAGTAAAAAACGTACTGACATAAGAAGTTGTATTAGTTATTTGTCACAATGCTCTGTACAAGCAGTCTTTTTACATAGAAAAACTGTGCATCTGACATTCCCATCCCCAAAATTCACCAGTGGTGAATACAAATTAATATGTGATGATAGAAATAATTTTGGTCACTCTTGGTTACCAAACAGTTTGAGTGCTGATACGTAAAGAATCTTGTTTTAAAGAAAAAAATCAAAGCATTTGGTATATGTCGAGAAACAAAGAATCTCGTTTTTATTAAAAACAGGACAAGAATTGTGTACATATGTGGATAAACTTGGTTTACAGTGAAGTATACGTAACAAACTTTTTTCTTTAAAGAAAGAAGTTAGTATACATTGAGAACTCATGATTTTAAGGAAACAGACAAAGAATCGTGTATATCCAGGGAACTTTTTGTGAAGAAACGGATAATTGTGTGTACGTGTATAGAAATTGTTTTTAAAGAAACAGCTGAAGAATCATGTATATGTAGAAAACCTTTTAAGTGAACAAACAATAAATTATGTATATGTAGGAAACATAAAAAAACATTTATGTAGAGGATTAATGCTGCTAACTGGTTGCATTTCCAATGGTCAGCGGGTCTAAGTTAGAGATGGCTACATATGAACTTTGGAGGTCTTTGACCCGCCCATTTAGTCTGTATGGTATTATTCACAATGCAGTTATCAAAGATAATTGTTTGTCTGCTTTCAGGTACTGCACAAGACCCTTGGAGCTCAGTCTCTTCTAGCACACTGGATACTAATACTGATCCATGGAGTTCTCTCCCACCTACAAAATCACATTTATCTAACGATCCATGGAACACACTTCCAACTACACAGGATGACCAAGCATCAGCCTGGACTCATTTGACAAAATCCAACAACGAAGAGTTAGATGAATTTCATGGACTTAGGGATCCTTTATCTCACGGAGAAGGTATCGCTGTTTTAGTTTTACCAAATTTTTCTTTTCTTAATTAAGTTTGGTTTTTCTTAACACTCTTTAAATATAAAATAATAAATTAAAACCATAATAAAGTTGTTCATAAAGAAATATTTACCTGTTAAAAAATAACAAATTCAACCAGTTTTTGTTAAAACTCTGTTTATTAAAAAATGATGTTTAATTGAAAAGTAAACTTAATTATATTAGAAACAGCATCCTTATAGTGTGTGTGAGTTGAAAAATAATTTAGGATCAAAAAGTCATTATTAAAAGAACCGACAAAAAAAAAATTAACACGCGAAATTAAGCATCCATTAAAACTGAATTATTTGAGCAAAATTTGGTAAGAACTAGCCCAATGAGGCATGAAATGAACTCCAACAAGTTTAAACATTGTTTTCATAATTATTGAATGCTAGAAGAACTGTGAAGTGATAAGATAGTTTGAAGAAGCATTACTTTGACATGTATTAGAAAGTTCAATTTTTAGACTCATAGAATGGCTCTGAGGTTTTTTTTTTTTCAAGTACAAACTTTTAGCTCATAGCTTCGTCATCTCTTGACTGATTTGAGATCCAGTCACGGTTTTGGACTCAGGAGGTCCAACCATTTTGATTGATGTATTTCATTGTGCCCAAGATCTCATAGATTAGTTTATTCTAACCATGTCTAAAAGAAGCTCAAATGTCACAGCTATTGAGGATTCCCTCTTGTTTTAATAAGCAGTTGTTGTGATTGAAATGTCATTTTGGAATAATCAAAAAATGGAACAGAAGCAACAAACAAAGTGCAAAATACTTACTAGTTAGTATTACTAACATTTCTCTGTCTTTATGTATCAATGTTTTTTTTTTCATCTTAATGAAAGATTAACGCATGAAACAAACAAATCCTGAAAATTGTTATTGTCCTCAGCTATTTTTTCTTTTAGAGAGAAAGGCTATTTAGAAAACTGAAAGTAAAAATGTTTTTTTTTTTATATATTTCATCTCTTAATCATGTGCAATTCTGAATAATGATGCATCTTTTTTTTTGTCTATAGACAAAATTTTGGGTCTCCAAAATTTACTATTATCAAGTGCACATGTACTAATATCACTTTTCAAAATATTTTTTTTTTACAAAGAAAACTCCCTTAACTTCCATATTTTTAATTATTTCACTTTCATTACCTTACCCCTCCCCTTTTTTTTCCTCTCTTTTAGTTCAGTCATGATAAAATAAAACACTTGGCTTTGACTCTCAGTATGTTCCACTCAGTATACATGTGTTTCCAAAGAAAATATTGAGTAGGATAACTTATGTCTATTGCTTAGTCATTTGCATGACACTCACTATCAAAATGAGTAGCTTATTTATTGAAATTATTACTCGAAGGTGAAGAAGCATGTGTTTAATAACCATTTTCTAATGCTTATTTTGTTTTTGCAAACATTCTAAAGCTTCTGGCCTGAATAATTTAAATTTTAATGTGGAATTTTGGTATTCGGTGGCTACAGGAATGAAAAGATACAAAGTGATTGGGTTTGTATATCTAGCAATGGTTTAATGTATACAGATATGGTGGCATGACGTTACGTAACCACTGGTTAGAGTACGGCAGAAATCTATATGAAAAACGTATATTATTGAGTTGTTGTTTTTCCTTTTTTTTTACAGAGCAAGTAAACGAGAAACAAAAAATTTTGTTGTTGCTATTTACTCTGTGACTTTTTTTTTTTTTATTAAACAGCCTGCCTCATGTCTCCGTCGCCAAATGTATTTGAAATGTCAGAAATTAAGGAAAGCTTACCCAGCAATGCTCAAAGAATAAAAGAACCAAAATCTGTGGAAAACTTCCTTGGAGCTAATTCTAGCCTGGTGAATTTGGACAACTTAATAAGCACAAAGAGCTGTAAACTTGGTAAGATGATGGAATTTACGAGTGAAAAATAAAAAAGAGAAATTTGTTTCTGTACATTGAGTGTTTCGTGCTCCTATAATTTGTGGGAAAACAAAAAAAGCTAATACTATAGGTTGTATCTCTGTTCTTCTTATTTTTTCTGCTGAGTTACGTATTGATTACTGAATTTTAGTTAAAGGGTATAATGACCAGATTTTGTGTGTGTGTGCAAGAAGACTAGCTTGCTGGTTTGTCAGTTCTTGTGTGTGTGTGTGTGCAAGAAG